TACAGTATCCAAAAAATTTCCTTTTTCACTTCATTTCACCCCTCTACCTGAGACGGGTATTGCACTACACCTTTACCATTCCTATTTCTATCTCTATTCCCTATCCATTTCTATTTCTGCCTCTATCCTTTTCAATCTGTTGGTGCCATCGGCATTGGTTGCAACCGATCCGGTGTAGGAGTTTTAGCCGTCGGGCAACACGTTGTGTAGCGCTGCTACTGTTTCAAGTCCCGTAAGAAGGCTGTTGTAACGACGCCTCCGTCGAAGGTCTTACTGTATAAGACAGAGTTGGTACCACCAACCGCGATCGCGATCGCGCTGGTGAGGGTGTTTTAGCCATCGGGCAACACGTCGGTAGTAGCGTTGCTACACGGTTACGATCCCGTCGGGTAGTGCTGAACAAGCCCCCGTCGAAGACCTTGAATTATACGCAAGGTGCTGAAGACGCTCGTCGAGCATTGGCCTTACAACCCAGCGAACCGCGGTTACATTCTCGTAGACAAGCCCAACCCGCACTCGCCGAGCACTCAAGTCTTAACAAGTCTCTACCACCATTATCCTCCCGGGCCGGGCATCTTTCCTTACCCCCCGTCGGAGTAGAGCGACTGTTGGCCGCAAGCCCACACAAGGGGAAAGGGAGTCTCGAACGCTCCGTAGCGCGTGCCATCGGCAGTGGTTGTTTCTGTTCATGTTTTTCTTCTTTTTGTTTGACGGTCGGACTGTGTTCGCGGCCTGTCAGGCACATTGCACTACAAAAGTGGTCTCCAGACCTAGAACGGTTTCGTCTACGACAAGGAAGTTGGTCTGGGTAACGGAGTCCCTTTTTAATTTTTTGTTCGTATCTTTTTTTAGGTTCGTTCGCTACGCCGAACGATGTCAACAAGCGCACCCGGGGACGTCGGTCCCGGGGCGAGTAGAAGCATATCGGCACGGGCGTCGAGGATCCCGAGGGGTCCTCGCACCCGGAGCCAGGCCAATACGGCCGATCCCGGAGATCAAGAATCCCCTACAGGGATTGCCGCCGACAAGAATGACCTCGACGAGAAGTTCGAGAAGACGGGCAGCGAAATTCGCCGAGAGAATAAGAAAATTCTCGAGGATGAATTGGCCCTAGTGCGAAAGCAACTGGAGTTGCAAGCAGCCGAGTTCCACATCGTGTTGGGAGAGCTAACAGCTCGCGTGGATCTCGTCGAGAAGGAACGAGGGGAGGTAACCGACGGCGCGGAGCTGGAGGTCCTAGCTTCGTTGAGACTCTCAGTTAAGGACGCGGGGCACGACGCGAATCAAGCCTTGGAGTCCCTAGGAAAATTTAGAACTAGCATCGATGACTGATTCGATCGCGCCGAGCGACGTCTCAAGGACCTTGAGCAGGCCGCAGATCAAGCTCCGCAAGGATCGGACGACGAGCCGCTCCCTTCAGGTAGAGAGGGCGACCGTCGGTCGAAGAAGGACAAGCCCGCTCTACAGCGGAGCTCCAAGTCGAAGTCCTCCAAGAAGGACAAGCGACGTACAAGCAAGAGTCACTGTAGTGACGATCCGGAGGACCGCGACTCACAGTCGGAGTCGCATGGTCCCTCTGAAGATGGTGACGACGGCTCGTCGAACCATTCGGGCGATTCCGAACACCGTTCAGAAGAAGGAAACGGAAATTCGTCAAGCAAGAAAATTTCCTCCAGACTAGGCGTAGTCACTTCGTCCGCCTCGCGGAGGGACAAGGACGCGGAACCCGAAGATGTCGCAACGCGGCACGGGCCACGATGGGAGGAGTTAGAGGAGCTGAATCCGACCAACTACCCCTTCAAGAAATTACTTTCGTACCGAACGTACCGCTTGCGGAACCCGCAGACATACTTGTCAAGTTCCCGGCGGACCGCCGTGCGAAAAACCAGGAGAGATATTCCACCTAAGGTGAAGAAGGACAACACGTTCACAGGAGAAGACGGCGTCCTTGTGTTGGATTTTTTGGAGAAGTTGGTTCAAGAGTTTGATACTCAGGAGATGAATGAGGGACAAGCGATTCGCTTGTTGCCCGAATTCCTTAGTGGCATTGCCCTAAGACAGTACACTTCCGTGTCTCAGACGGCGGGATCCCACCATGGGAAGGTATCCGCCTGGCCGGAGGCCGTACAGTGGCTATTGAGAAGTTTCGCCACCGACGAGGCGATCCGTCCAGCCGTGCTCGCATTGCGAGAAGTTCAACAGAGACCGTCTGAAGACGAAATGGAATTTTACATTCACCTAACAGACGCGAGTAATCGCTGTGGGAATGTTTATTCTATGGAGGAGCAGATGACCATGTTCATCGAGGGGCTAGATGCCAGTATCGAGCCCACGGTCTCGCAGTATCGACAAGATGTCTCACTTTTGAGATTGGTAAATTACGCAAAGGCGCATGGCTCGGCGACCCGCGGCAAGGACAAGAAGACCAAGGAGGTCACGATTCAAACGCCGTCGACGTTCAGGGCCGGGAACAAGGCGAGGGCTTCTTCTTATCCCGGTCGTAAAGGTCACGCCGCCGTCCACTTAGCCGAGTCAATCTCCGCTTCAGAGGAGCGCAGTGCGCAGAGAAGCAACGAAAAGTATTATGAAGGAGCGTTCGTCGCCGAAGGCGATTCTTTTGAGCCATCGGAAGGCTACGGACACGTGGACTACGGGGCAAGTGGGTCGTCAACTTTACCGACGCCCACATACACGACGGAGTCGTTTTCAGAGCCCACGGATCCCGTGATGATGTTCCGGGGGGGCCGCCACACGCCGGCGCCGCGCATTCCGATGTAAGACAAGGGTACAACGTTTCGAAGGCCAGGCTGGATGGGAAGGCCGCAACATCAAGGAAGGCCGCCGGCCCGTGGAGAACCTAGGCCACAATATCTCGTCAAGAAGCACGGACTGGTGTGCTATCACTGTACGAGAAGGGGCACGCCGCACCAACGTGCAATATTTCCCTCCGGGAAATGCACCGAGTTTTGGGAAATTATGAGGCGTTGTCTCCGATGCAGAGATTAGGGATACCATCGACGAGTTATCTGAAGGTCAAGAACTGGTTCGAATCGCAGACGGCGAGCACGCCGAGTGCTTCAACGCCGAGGTCGAATCAACCCTTTAGAGGACCCGCCGCGGGGCCCGCGTCGTCGGACGTGAGACGGAACCCGCAGTCGCAGGGAAACTAGAGAGGGGAATCTCGAAGGCGTCACGAGAGGTGCAGGTTCAACGTACTGCGTCCGGGACTCAGTCCCGTTCCCCGTCTCTAGCAAAAAAGAAAGGCCTCGACGAGGAGGTAGTTGGAATAGTGGATAGGCCGAAGGAGCCGACTGTTGTCAAGAAAATTCTAAGTCGAGACAAGGATCGTCCGATCGATCAAATTCGTAAGCCTTGGTACAGGGTTAAGCGACAAGAATGCCCTGACAAGATCTTGGTCCTCGCACGGAAAAACCTACAAAGTTTACGCGGATATTGGACCAACGGTCGCATTGATGAGTCGAGTGTTGTCCGTGTTGGACACAGGTGCCGGACCGAATTTGGTTCGAAGGTCGGAACTTCCGGCAGGAATGGAATGTTGGTGTCCTACGGACCGACCCAAGACATTGGCGACGGGAACAATAGGCCACTCCGGCTCTCGGCACAATTAAAATGCCTGTGAGGCTTGGAAGATTTGTGGCCGCAGCTGAGTTTATTGTATGCGAAAAACTAGCCGTCCCGCTAATTCTAGGCGCGGACTACTGTGACCGATTTGTGGAAGCAATTTATCCAAGGAAGAAAATGGTTGAGTTGGCGGATTTCTCGGAGGTCCCGATAGTTAGGCGGTTCTCGCCGAGAAAAGGGAAGAAGAATCACGTCCCGGGAGAGGACGAGAATGATGGAAAGGGGGAGCGAATTTCCCCTAAGGTAAAAGTGGCAAGAGCCACGACTATCGAGCCAGGGACGCAACGCGTCGTTGAATGCACCTCGAAGAGGGCGGGCTTGGTTGTGGTTCAGCCGTACTCGTCGTTGTACGAAAGGCACGGGTTGACGTGCACGAATGGTGTCGTTCAGGTTGAGCCTGACAAGCCATTTCGTTTACTCGTTGCGAATTTTAGGACGTACCCTGTCAGGGTGCAAAAAGGACTAGTGGTGGCAGAATTATTACCGCACTCGAGGGCCGTGCTTGAGAGCAAAACCACCATTGGTGAAGTTCTCGGAATTCAGGAAAGGCAGAAGGAAAAATTTCCTAATTCTACCAAGACGCCTACGGGCGAGACAAGATGCGAACCGTCGGATCAGGGCCGCGAGGACCAGCCTGGCGAACGGTCGGCAGGGCTCTCCGCGTCGGCATCTACGAAGCTGCAACGCAGGATTGAGCCGCCACCGCCGGACGTGGAGGAACTCGACCGGAGCCACGTGCCGAACCGGCTGCGCGACAAGTTCCGTCAGGTGTTGGAGAAGTATTCCCGCATGCAGGATGGGAACCTTGGTGAAATTAACACCACGGTCCACCGGATCGAGTTGGTCCCGGATACAAGACTAATCGCGCAAGCCCCGTATCGGTCCGGGCCTAAGGCCCGCGAAACTGAAGATGCAGAAGTACAGAAGATGTTGGAGGCTAGTTTAATAGAGCCAGCACAGTCAGAATGGGCGTCGCCCGTGTTGCTGGTGCCCAAGCCGTACGGTTCAATGCGCTTTTGCGTAGACTACCGCAGACTGATGCAGTCACGGTGAAGGACACGTACCCTTTGCCGCGCATGGACGAGTGTCTGAACTCGCTTGGTGACACGAAGGTTTTCTCTGCGTTGGACGCGATCTCAGGGTATTGGCAGATGCCTATTCCCGCAGCGGACCGCGACAAGACAGCTTTTTCGTGTCACTCAGGTCTCTACCGTTTTTCAAGAATGCCCTTCGGGCTTACCCACGCGCCGGCGACGTTTCAGAGAGCCATGGATATACTGCTCTCTCCGTTCCGCTGGAAGTCGTGTCTGGTGTATTTGGATGATATCATCATTTTCAGCAAGTGTTGGGAAGAACATATGGTTCACGTTGACGAAATAATGTCAGTATTGGAGAAGGCAGGAGTGAAGCTCAAGCTCCGCAAGTGTGAATTTTTCGTCGAAAAGATCAAGTACCTGGGCCATGTCGTTCGGCCAGGTACGTTGGAGGTTGATGCTGCTCGCATCGCGGCGTTGGAACAAGTGAAGTACCCTCAAACGCAGACCCAACTCAGAAGCTTCTTGGGACTTTGTAATGTGTACCGTCGGTTTGTCCCACATTACGCGAAAATCGCGCATCCGCTCAATCAACTATTGAAGAAGGGACAACCGGTCCAGTTGGAAGGATTCGACGAACCATGTAAGAAAGCTTTTCATAATCTTAAGGAGGCCATCTTGGCACCACCGGTGGTGGCGCTGCCAAAGAAGGACCTTCCATATTCGGTGGATACCGACGCAAGTGATTATCAAATCGGAGCTACATTATTTCAACGTATCCGGATGCACAACGAAAACCCATCGGGTTCTTTTCCAGAACGTTGGCTGCAGCCGAGAGGAATTATTCTGTATCAGAGAAGGAATGTTTGGCGGTTATTTGGGCCGTCCAAACTCTAAGACCATATATATATGGCGAACACTTTATCGTGCATACCCACCATGCCTCGTTGAGGTGGTTGATGAACGTGACGGACCCAAGTGGGAGATTAATCCGATGGAGGCTACGCCTCTCGGAATTCGACATCGAAATCAAGTACAAGAAAGGAAAGGCAAACAGCCAAGCAGATGCCTTGTCAATGCTTTTAACGCAAGGAGAAACTGTCGACGAAATCGACGATGAAATCCCATGTTTTATGGCCGAACCGGCCGACGCTACGGAAGACGATGAGGAAGATTTTGAAAGGCTGGACGACATCCTCGCTCTTGAGGGGGGGCCGCCTCTGATCGCCTCTATCACTTCCAAGCTGTCGCTCCGGAGGAGCTTATTCGCGAGCAGGCCGTCGACCCTTTCTGCAGTCGAATCAAGGAGGAGATGAACGCTGGAAAAGCCAGGACGTTCACAACGGAGGCAGTGGAATTCGAAGGAACTCTATGGCGTACTGCGGCGGAGTTTGTACAAGTGGTGATACCACAATCGTTAAGGGACCGCGTCCTAGGGTTGAGCCACTACGCAAAATTGGCTGGCCACCCTGGAGGCAGGAAACTGTACAAGACGTTAAGAAGATATTTTTATTGGCCTACAATGGCACTAGACTGCTACGCTGTAGCATGGAATTGCGCAGATTGCGCCAGAGAAAGGGTGAAATTAAGGAAGAATACGATAGAAATGAAGTTGTTCACACCAAAGGCTCCGCTGGAATTTGTCGCTATCGACATCCTCGGAGAATTAATCACAACGAAAAGAGGGAACCGCTACATCCTCGTGATCAGCGATCGATACTCAAAATTGGTACGAACCGTACCACTCAAGAAAATTACCGCGGCACACATAGCGCAAGCTTTTGTGCACCATTGGGTATTCGTATATGGACCCCCTGTGAAGCTGCTGTCCAACAACGGGACGCAGTTCACGGCCCGGTTCTTTCAAAACATCTGTCGAATTTTTGGCATACGCAACGTCTTCACGACGACGTATCACCCCCAGGCCAACGGCCAAGTTGAGAGGTTTAACCGCACGCTGACTTCCGCGTTGCGAAAATATGTTGGAGAGCATCCCAAGGACTGAGACCTATTTAGCGACGCTGTGACGTTCGCATACAACACGCAAGTTCATCGAACGACGAACATCGCGCCCTTCGAGCTGGTGTTAGGTCGGGTGCCGAGAAGCATTGCGTTACAAGCGCAGCCAACTTTGGAGAAATTCAGCTCGTGACGAGCATACTACGTGAAATGGCAGTCGTGGTTGGAGAGCCTAATGCGAAGCGCCGATAGGAGTTTGTGGAAGGAACAACCCGGTACAAGCGAAACTTTGACGCACGGCTTCGCAAACCAAAATATGATATCCCACCGGGGTCCTACGTGTTCCTCAGGAAGGAGCAGGGCACGGCTAGCGAACCGAATCATAAGCTCGCACAAGTCGCTACGGGGCCTTATCAGGGCGGAAGACCGGATCACCATACGGTGGTCATTGCCATCGGCGACCAGGAGGAACGCGTATCGCGAGATAGGGTGGAGTTAGCCCCAAGCCCTATGGACTATGCGCCGGTAACCGTCCCACGTCAAGCGCTACAATTCCTGGGAGAGCTGGAGTTTAACGAAGAAGGAGGGGAAATCGAGGACGAGGATCGTCCTCACACACGTGCGCATGCGCCAGGGGACCAGGATAATTTAGTTGGTCAAACGCCGACAGCGGAGACGTCACCAGACCTACGCCAGTCCGGAAATTCCAGAGAGGTGGATGGGTCGGAAGACCTTCAGAAGGGGGAAGGAGACAGTTCAGAGAAAGGAGAGGAGACGGAAAACACGGAATACGTAATCGACTGGGTCGTCGACCACGATTATCAAGATGGAAATTTGATTCTCAAGGTGGAGTGGTACGGGTATACGCCCGAGGACGCGACGTGAGAGCCCATTGAGCAATTACCCCGTAGCGCGGCCGTCACGTATTTCTGAAGGAAGAAGCTACCCTTGCCGCCGCAAGTCGGGCGCGCGCAAGCGGGGTAACCCCTGTCAGGAAGTTATTGAGTTGGAATTGGTGATGTGGATCGAGGCGCGAAGGTAGAGAGAGTAAGAACACTCGTAGAACGGCGGTGTCACAAGGGGAAGAAATGGAGATAAGGGAGAGTGGCAGGAGCCAGGAAATCTTCTCTCGGGTCCCGCGCATGAACGGAGGGACGCACGACACCTTACCGGGAAATTGAAGTGCCACTGTAGTGTCAGGCTGAGGTAATGTACCTCCTGGGATATGATCACGTTCTGCCGGTACGCGCAAGTGAAGTGACTCTGGGATCAGTAGTCCGCCCCTCGCGGGGCGGAACTTAATCAAAAAATAGGGATGTCGACAGAGAGCTGCTGGAATGGAGGTGAAAGTCGAAAATCGAACAATGGTCAGTCTTCCAAAATTGAATCAAAATTAAGGGAAATGTGGTACTTGTTGGTCGCACGAGGAGTGGTTGTCGAGTGTTACAGCCGAAAGCATAAGCATCCAAGCCCGTCCGGCAGTACGGTCACCGTACTGCCGGACAACGGGCAACGGTTGCCGACCACCACGCAAGAAGATGATCCCCAATTTCGTTTCAAGCGTATTGAATAGGCCTTACAAGCCGAGGGAGTGACGCTCGTCGAGCCGGAAGACAAGCCGCACAGATGGTGCCAACGTCGATTGGGAAAGGACACGGGCGCACACGCCCGCGACGCGAGACAAAGATGACCAGGACCCGAAGGGGAAGTCGTCCCACTGGGTCGTACCGTTGATACGCGAGTCGCGACCGACGCAAACGCGCACGTATTTCAGTCACGAACGCATTACTTATTGGTTCACAACAACAATTCCCTCGTCTCTTCTGTCGTTTCCGTTTTGTTAATTTTTTTGGAAGTTGTCTACGTAACCCCAGAGCACGTCTGGGAGACCCTCCGCAAGGCCTTGAAAGTGTCACTGCCCATAACAGCCGTGATTACGACCAACGTCGACGCTTGCCGAGCGACATAAGGAACAACTACGGGGAATGTAGGATCATCAAGGATTGTTCGCACTGACGATGACGTCACCTAACGTGAAACAAAAAAATCCCCCAGGTTACGCCTACGCGCAACAGGGCGTAATTCCGTTCTATTTGGACTGTGTCAGCCGTTCCCTCTCTAGTGTCTATTGGACGGACGTTTTTGATCATTTGAGGCGAAAAGAGCCTCATCTGAGGCTTGGAAAATAATAGCATCCTCACGGTTCAGAACATTAGTTACGCCCTGTCGAAGTGTCGAACATGACTGCAGTACCCTGTTACATGCCTCTTCACTGCAGCTATAATTTCCAGCACGAAGTAAACCACCATCGGTCCAGTCGCCATCAATACATATATTATGCCATTTAGAAGCGTTTTATTGTATTCCTTAATGCATCAACATTGGTCTTGTGAAAGAATATTCCAAAATGGGTTGTGGCCACTGAGTGCTTCAGGACTCTTGTTGCGAGTACATACTATGCACTCGCAATAGAATCTAGTAGATGTGCGCTCCTCGCACCAGTCGGAGATTTGAAGTGGCAGAGGACAATTGACTGACTGCGAGGATTTTTCCTGTCTGCCAGAGCACTAGAAAGACCCTCCTAAATACCGTGCATTATAGGTGCCTTCAAGGGACCTGGACATTGTTTTTTACTCTTACTGTTACTGTTTCGCGGTAACTATGGCTTTCAGTTCTCCCTCTTTGCGCCAGAAACGGCGCGGCAAAAAAGCCTCATATGAGGCGAAATCCTCAAATGAGGCGCATTGTCCAATAGACACTAGGGACGAGCACGTCTCAAGACGACAAAGCGTTCCGACGCACCGCCAATATTTTTGTCCAAAGGTGGGAGACGCGGAACAGCACGGGAATCGCAAATGCGGAAAGGGAAAGCGTGCATGACACCTGTAGCAGCTGAGCCAACGGCCTGGTCGAACGCGCTCCCAGAGCGTTGAATATGCTCAAGAAATTGAGGAACCAATGCTCGTCAACAGGGAGGATCCGTCCCAATTGGAAATGCTCATGCCAAATCGCACGCGCTTGCGCACACCGCCCCCGACAAAATACCAGGATGACCGCCGCGGCGAAAATAGAATTCACGACAAGGGAGCATGGTCGTTTGAGGATTAAGAAAGGATTCATTACATTGACTTGGGAGCGAGAGGCCCCGCGAGCGTGCGTACGAGCAGGGACGTGTTGATCGCCGTGCTGAGAATATTACCAAAATTAAGGAAAATCACACACGTTTGTTGTCACACGCCTCAGGCCCCGATCTTACGATATCGGAAATTACACGAGGGAAGGATCTCAACAACCCCTCGTCCCCGCCGCCCCGGTCACCGAGAATGACGGTTTGAGAACCAATCCCGACGGGGAACTCACACAAGATATACCGGTCCGCTATCACGGCGACGCCGTCGTCCGCACAGTCGTCGAACTACATTGAAGAGAACGTCCCCAGGAAGGAAGGAAGAAAGGGAGATATATATATTTGGGTACACCCTCCCTCTTTTTGCACACAAGCAAGATGTGATGACCGGTAAGTGCGAGACTGACACAATTATCTATCTAGTCCCCGTCGTTTTCCCTCTTTCTCTTCTTTCCTATATTTTTTTGTGGATGACACGGACGTGACCCTACAGGGGGACGTCAGCAAACCGCCCAAAAGAGGAAAGAAGACGGATCAGGACCCACCCGCGTGATCACCGTTGGTGAGGGTGGAGGCGAGAGCGACCGTCGGTCGCATCGACAAGGAATGGACTGTATCACAGGAAAAGGGAAAATCGCGTACGAAGACGGAGACGGGGAAGGATCGAGGAGACCCCGGTGCCCGTAGCATCGCAAAGCGACCGACCCAGTCGGATATGTGGGGGAGGCGATCGGTCGATGACCGAAGACAATGAAAGAGTTGCTCAATAAGAGGCAAGAGGAGGAATTGAAGGGACGGAACAACCGAGGAA